GTGGGAGGAGGAGGTAACAACGCTTGATAGGAAATGTACTCATTACCTTGCTCATGTAACTGACCCTTCTGTACAGTATTTTTACAATAAAAAAACATTTTAAAAATTATATTAAAAAAAAGAATTTCCTTGGGAGTTTGCAACAGAACCAACTCTGGATTCTTAGCACCAAGATATTGCAACCTCGGTTAGTCTGCATAAAGCCTAGATTCGGAGACTTTCAAAACGTTTTCATGTGATTTTATTTTTATTTATTTTTTTCTGTCAATCGCTGGGCTTGAACTCTGGGCCTGGGCACTGTCCCTCAGCTCTTCAACTCAGCACTAGCACTCTACCACCTGAGCCACAGTGCCACTTCTGGTTTTCTGAGTGGTTTACTGGAGATAAGAGTCTCCTACCCAGGCTGGCTTTGAACCTAAATGTCAGCTAGGATTACCAGCATGAGCCACTAGCACCTGGTGTCATGTGATTTTAATGTGTAGGCAATGTTCAAATTCTGCAGATTAGCGTGATCTTCTCTTCTTTAATTTGGCCTTTAATAGGCAGCAGATAAAGCTCTATACACCAGTATCATAATGCCACAATCCAGCTCATTTCAGATATAGCTATGAATCTTTTATAGATCAAATTTCTCTGGACATGAGAATATAAAACAAGATAACTTGACAACATAAAGAGAAATTACCAAAGATACTGCGTACCCATTGATGCTGATGATTCAGTAACTGTTACTGTCTCATTGGTTAATTTTGCCCTGAAGAAGGACAGCAAAACTAAAATAGTCATTTAGATTTAGATATAAACTAAATTTACAGCAATGATGATAGCACCTGAGCTTTTGAGATATTATAGACTTTCTTGAGTTTGAAAAACTTGCCTTGGACTATCAAATGTAAATGACTAAGTGAGTTGGAACAGTATTACTTTTTATTGTAACAACCAGTTTTGTCACCAGAGGGTGGAGCTTAAGAAGTGAGAGAGAAGTCAGGAAGTTGAGAGACAAAGGAAGTGGCTGCTGGTGTCACTCTGTAAGAAGTGAATCTTCTATTCTGATATCACCCTGCATCAAGAAGGAGAAAGATTACGAATACTAGAAAAGAATCCCAAGTTTACATTGTACCTTTGAAATGGAGGCCACGCAAAATTCTTACCTCATCGAGGCACCTCATGAAGTTCTGGGAGATGAATTAAGGTTAGCCAAATTTTCTACTTCAGATCCAAGGGCAGTTTCAGAGAAACACTTGATCATGGAAATTGAGCAAACGTACAAATGTTTTCGGTGCTTCTCAGGAAGTAGCTATTGCCTGCCTCACAGAAACGAATGAGTCTATCTACTGGGCTGGAATGAGGATGCATAGACCTGGTAAGTGGATGTTATGAAAACTCCAAAACAATTTAGCAGACACCAATGTTTGTGAAGAGATCCAGGCAGGGAGCATGAGGTCTCTGAAGGGCTATGGAGAGGAAAACACTTCAGTTTCATCTGTAAAGGTCACAGAATGACTGTCAATTACCAGCTTCCCTTCTGAACATCAGTTCTATGTATTGTCATTATCACCTCAGGATTTGGAGGTCCAAGAACAGAACACAGAATTGGCTGAGTTCAAATCCTAAATTGGTCTGGTTAAAATTTCTCAAAGAAGCTAAGAAAAAAATCTGAAAATGTTTGAACCTTTCTAAACAGTTCCTGGTCTTCAAGAGAAGACCAAACATGGAAGGGCCTGAAATGGAGGTTAAATTTGGTTAAATAGAGAGAAACACCTTGTGCACCTGTAAGACAGATATAAAAAGAATATCTTCTTTAGCCTTGGGGAACTCATGTTGTGACAGGAAAAAAGCATAGATGTTAATAAAATATAGATTATTGTGCACATTTAAGGCATCTGAACTCATTTTTAGGAGAAAGTGTGAACAAAAACCAATTGTTATCCTAAATACTTCATCTGTACCACTGAGGTTACTAGAGACAAAAGAAGACCTTGTAAGAGAAACGCCTTTTCACTATGTGCCTTTTCTGTACCCAGGAGAGGGATACCATTGAGTTGGTAATCAATGAGGCTTGTGTAAGCTTTCAGATAATGTGGAGATTCAAATGAGCAGATTGGACTTACCCACATAGCAGATATTACACAGAATCAAACGTTACAACCATTTTAAGAACATGGCTATTATAGATACTCAGACAAAGATGGGAGAGTTCTAAGATGCTAAGGCTGTATTCCAAGTCTTCCTTTTTTACATTGGATGCATGCTCTATGGCCCAGAGTAGAGGAAATCTGTAAGATTTGTGGCTTACTAAATCAGGGAACGGAAAGCATTTAGTTTACAAAGCACTCTTTTTATATACTCCAGTTTGCATACAATTTTCCAGGAGCCTATACTCATAAATCCATAAATTCTGGGTTTAATTTCTGTTAGAGTACATAGCCAGGGAAATCTGGTTACAGATACTCAATAAAGACTTGCTTTGAGCAAATATCATTAAGTTATTTGTCAAGAGGTCCAATTATCATGTTCACAAGGTTAGACAGGGTCATCTCTCCTGTTTGCCTTTTTTTTTGGTAACATATTCTTGGTTAAAGGGTATGAGTGGATCTTAGACCAACTGCTTTAACTCCTTCCTCCCAAACTTAATATCAAAGAGGGCAGTCTTCTCCTTAAAATGACAAAATTAAATTCCTTAAATGTAAGACTAAGTAGAAGCCATATTTTTGTGAGTTGAGGACTATTTGATTTTCTTTAAGAATCACTTTAGTTAATGCATTTTTATTTTTGAAGCATAGGAAAGCAATTCAAATTATAAAATTAGCATCTACTAAATTAAAAAAGATTCCGGCAATACAAACATTCAGACAGGAGATAAATATCATGTATCATGCATTCCTGTGATAAATTGTTATAATTTTGATATGAATCTTTCCACAACAAATGATATCATATTATGTATGCAGTTCTGCAGTCTTATTATTTAAATTAATGATCTCATTTGTCTATTTAATGACATGTATGCAAACATAAAAATCAAAATTATTCTCATGGGTTTTATTTAGCCAAGCTATTTCAAAATGCAGAGTGCTGCAGTACAATGTTAGCACTACAACGGATTCTTTAAGGCTATTACTAAAAGTAGAAACCGACATTATATTTTTTAGATTTTTTAGAACAAAGTACTGTGATTATGCATGCAATATATTTATTAGGTATTAAAATTTTAAATTTAAGAATTTATCAAAAATAAAACTGTCCTGTCCACTATATTAGCCACTTGTCACATGCAGTTTTATGAACTGAAGTCAATGAAATGAGATAAATAATTCAGTTCTATGTCACAGTACCCACATTGCACGTGGTCCACAGCTACATATAATGAATGGCTACCATGTTAGTTAGTAAAGGTCTGAAACATTCTCATCATTACCAAAGTTCTGTTGTGGAGTGTTGGTGTTGTTCTAAATATGTCACAATTTAAATTTAATGAAACAATTGGTTGAGCACCAAATATGTATCAAATGTTATATTAGGCACTTTTCACTTTTCCTGCAAGCTATTTTATCTTGTACTCATAAAAAGTTTGTGGGACAGATATTGTTATACCCACATTGCAGGCCTCAAAACATGGAGGGTCATGGAAGCAAAGCAAAAAGGGTTGGAAGTGAGCTGTAGTCCCAGCTCTTCACATTACGAGCTTTGCACCGGTCACTGGGCTTTGAGGCCTCATGGTACTCAGGGCTGCTGATTTGTCCTGTCAGACCAGCAGAGGAATCCATACTGAGAGTCAGCACTGGAGGAGCAGCAGCTCTGTCCATTCAGTTCTTCCTAGCATCCCATAAACTGACTTGAACTTAGAATATAACTTCATCTGCTCCTCCAAATCCTTAATATGAAGTTGCACCTCTTCAATACTGCTCACAATGCCTATCAGAATTTGGCTTGAAATGAAATTTTTTTTGGTCAGTTATAAGTCTTGAACTCAGGGCCTGGGCACTGTCCCTGAGCTCTTTTGCTCAAGGCTCAAGGCTCTACCACTTTGAGCCATAGCACCGCTTCCAGTTTTCTGGTGGTTAATTGGAGATTAGTCTAATGGACTTTCTTGCCAGAGTTGGCTTTGAACTGTGATCCTGAGATCTCAGCCTGCAGAGTAGCTAAGATTACAGGTGTGAGCCACCAGCGCCCAGCTTGAAGTGATTTCTTTTGCATTTTTTCACATTCATCCTGTCTCAGTGTGTATGCCAATGATGTCAAATTAAAATTCCCTAAGTAGACATCATACTGTCTTCTTCCTCAACCTCACTGCACTGGCCTCAAAGCCTCTTTAATTCTTCTAACCTATTTCACTCTTTGTGGCTTTTTATAACTCAGCTCATGTCCTGCTTTCTCCAGGATGCTTTATGGTAACTACAGAGTATGATTTAGGAGTTCCCTCCACTCAGGAAGTTCATGTAGTGTCCAGTTATTATTTATTCTGCAAAGCATGCTTGTCATGAGGGTGATCACTGATTAACTTGAATATATATTTGTTAAATATAGTCTCCTTGAGGACAGGACTCACATCTTAATCTGTCACAAAACCAAATATGTTACAATTTTCAACTGAAATTAATGGGGCAATTTGCTTTTCCAGACTTGAGGTATTATATGATCTGAAAAGTGGGAAATAGAGAGGAAAAATAATCTCTTGAGTTAAATTGCCCTCAACAGATTAATGAATTTCTATCTTATGTCTCCTTGCATTGCATTCATTCATTTTCAGCTCAAATAGTAAGAAAAGCCACTTGTCTTTGATGATCTTAATACTAAAATGGTGCCTCAGAATACACTAAGCTCTTGATTCAAAATATGGAGAAAAAGAGGAACAGCCTTGATTGAGGACCACCTGTAACAACCCTAGAAAGTGGAGCCAGAAGGCTTTTCTGACAACTTAGTCTACTAGTAGGCTCAAGTTCTTGTGCTTGAGAGGTAGCTTCTATTGCTTTATTTTCCTTCCCAGCTCCCAGCCATACTGTTTGCATCTGTCGAGATGTCCCTTCCACTCCTTCATTAACTCTCCTCTGTGCCAAGGGGAGCTGCTTGCTGCGATACCTGCCATAATGTGTCACAAGTTGGCAGGCAATCACTTTGTGGCAGATACCACTTGGCCACAGGACACACGTCAGACTGACATATTGCTTCTCCCTGTTTGTAAAGACTGATTCTTTCAAACCTTTACACAGGAGAAAACAAGTATGAAATGTCAGGCTTCTGTAGTAATATGATGTAAATAGAGACATTATAGAGTTTTTAATTGCCATTTACCCTTCTGGCTTCAGGGTAGGTGACACATATTTATGATCATCACTCACACTCATCTGGAGCATTTGATTCATTGTCCCCTCATATTTACTCATTCATGAAATTGTTGTCAAATGTAGGAGGTGCATCCTAAGACCCACACACTCATAGGAAGTACCCAGAGGATCCAGGGATAAACAAAATGTGGCATGTGCCATTAAGAACTTGTCACTGAAGAAGGAGACACAGGCATATATGTGTGATTCTAACGCAAATAAGCGAGGGCTTGAAAGTCAGCATTAAGGGATATAGGGTACAGGCTTTGGGCTCAATGCTCAGCATGAGCGAGACAGAGACAGAGACAGAGGGCAGAGACAGAGAGCAGAGACAGAAACAGAGAGACAGAGACAAAAACAGAGACAGACAAAAACAGACCGGGGGAATTCATTTACAATAAAGTGAGCACAGTGGAAGGAGATATTTCTGATGCCAAAGGAGTCACAGAGGCTCAAGGGTAGGAGGTGACTTTTTAAGGATCATAGCAATCTGTGTAGAAAGAAGTTGGTCCAGCAGCAACAATACCAAGTGAATAGGAAGTGAATATAAGGAAATCTAAATTGCTTGGTCCCCTGGCTGGAAAGCAAGATATATAATAAGAGTCCCAGAGGTCAGTTATGAGACAGGCAGGAGGGGGAAACACATCTAACAGACCTTAAAGCAGGAAGTAAAAGCTCTCTTGTTGACAATGAGAGTTAGCTAATTTGGCAAGTCTGAGCACAATCAGGGACTTTGAGGTGAATGTTTCTTACCTTTTTGAAGTTAGAAGCAATAATGGGCTTTTAAAACTTCTGTCTCTTCTGTTTATTTTTATATTTTCCCTGTCTGGGTTTACACATTGGCTTAAAAACATCAAGACACCCACATACAAGGTCTGTGGTTTAAGTGTTTGGGTAACCTTTTTTAAATAAGGAGAAGCTTGGGAAATGGAATCTTATTCTGTAGGGTACAGCAGGTCATAGAAGTATAATAGATAAAAAGAAGTGACTTGAAAACCTTCAGGCTTCTAGACTAAGAAGTGTCAATTGAGACAGAGAAGTGTAAAGTAGCCCTGGAGCTGAATTGCATGTTTCCTCCTTCCCAGTAAGGGCTAATTTTTACCAAAGGACTATTGTAAAGCAAGTGTCTGGAAGACTCTCTCACAATCTATGAGTCATAGGTGAGGCCAGGGAGGTGCATAAACTTCACAAATGCAGCCTCATTGGTGCAAGTATAGGGTTTGGTGATTGTGTATTAGCTGAGCAAAGAGTATTCATTCCAACTTGCATGGTATGTGTATTGGAGGAGGGCAGTATAGTTAGATGTTGAAGATATTCCCACTTAGATGCCATACTAAGAGGATGGATTTACTGGAAAGGGAAGAAATATTAAAGATTATGTCAGCTAGGAAGTATCACAGGTGTTGGGTTCAGGGAGATCAAAGTTTGAATCTCAGCTCTACTGTTCAGGTTCTGTAATTCTTGATAGCCTACATGCATTTAGTAAGACTCCATGTCCTCATGTATAAAACATGGTATAAAAGCATTTAACTTCTCAACGTGAGCAGACTGAAATAAAGTGTGTAACATTCCCAGCCTATTTCCAGGCAATTCAAATAATGACAGCTCTTATCTCACATAGCTATCATACTTCATCTACATACTTCACAGGCAACACGGTGCTGGGCACTCAAGAAACTTCTAAATCGTCTTTGATGTGATTTCTCTTGACTTGCAAAGGCACCAGGAGTTTAAATTAATCTTTTGCAAGTATGAGACATATTAAGAATTATCACCACTAGATCTTGAAGGAAATAGTCATTTGTCAGTAATATTGACCCAAGGAGAACCAGTCAGGTGTAAAAGGCATCATTTTGAAGTGATATGACAAATGAAGCTCCATCATTTGAACAAGGAGATAGAAACAGGGTCACCAGAATTTGTGGGCCTGCTTTGACATGTTAGTTAAATCGTCATTGCAACCCCAATAAGCTGAATTCCTTACTCATTTGGATGAATGATGTAGGCCTTCTCAGAGCTGGTCCATGGTAAAAGCAAAGATCACACTGTTATACTTCAAGGATCAAAACCAAAAATAGAATAGTTATTTAAGAAAGATGCAGTAAATGGGTAGTGCTGTTCTAACAAAGATATCTGCACATTTAAAAATGTTTCTTTGAATATGTTCATTATTCATTTGTTAGAATTATACAGTGATAATATTTAGATGTCCATCTCTGAAGACTAGTAAATTCTATTTTAAACTTACCCACAATCAGGGAAACTTCCCCTTCATTATTAAAACTGACATTTAGTTCAATGTTTTATTGTTTCTTAATTTGCTATGAAATAAACGTTCATGCTATGAAAAATTTATGAAAAGTTTATAAAATGTAAAGCAAAGGGAGGATACGGAAGGCAATCAAGGCTAATTATTGCTTAAAAATCATTTATGCAGCACAAACTCATATGTGTGTGTTCACAAAGAACTCAATATTAGAGGCTAACGAAACAAGTTCGAGGTGATCACATAGGGACTGCCCAGCATTGTTTTAGAAAAATTGTCAAACAGCATAACCTCCCATTTGTTTCCCCGCCCTCCAGACTTCAGGCCTTAATTCCTCCAATTAATATGGAGGAGATAAATACAGATAAATACAGATCCAACCTTATTTTCTCTAGGTCACTCTTCTTTTCCTTGCCTTACAGCACAGGAGGCTGTGAGTCTCAGTCAGCATCCAGTGGCCTTCTAGTTCTAGTAAAAGTGGGGAACAGATCACAGGCAATTCCTGCCAGGACTTCTAGGCTTAGAGGAGTCAAGGATGTTAGATACAGCTACAACAGCAACAGTGGCCTTCATCACCACCATCAGTAGAGAGTATTTGCTAGCCTGGCGTTTGTTAATACCATCACCTCTCGTTTCTGAAGTCCTAGGCACTTCCTGTAGTTCCTTATCTGTGTTAGCCCATTTGTTTTCTCTTCCTCTTCCTCAACTTTTCAAATATTTTTTGTAACAAGTGACTTTTAAAGCAGGTAGTGTCACTGTTGGTTTCCTGACTGGCCCCTTGACTGATTCAAAGTCCTATCAAAATATTACTTGACACTCAGCTTGTGAGTATAAATACTCAGTTTGTGAGTGTTGTATAGAGTAATAATGATCCCAGATTTGTTTGGTTTTTCCACCATTAGTGATGTATGTTCTTAGCCACCTACCTGCAATATTCTTCTATAAGCGTAATATGGTGGCCAGGCACTGGTGGCTCATGCCTGTAATCTTAGCAACTCAGGAGGCTGAGATCTAAGGATCATGGTTCAATGCCAGCCTGGGCAGGAAAATCCGTGAAACTCTTATCTCCAATTAACCACCAGAAAACCAGAAGTGGCACTGTGGCTCAAGTGGTAGAGCGCTAGCCTTGAGTTGAAGAGCTCAGGGACGGTGCACTAGGCTCAGAGTTCAAACCCTACAACTGACCCCCCCCAAATAAAAGAGTAATAGGGTGTAGTATATTTGACTATCACTGGTGTGGCAATTTAGTTGAAAAGTCACTTCATTGTCCCATTTCTTGGGCATCTGCCCATTTTTTTCTTACCCTGTATTATATCCCCATTGGTGTTCTGGTCAAGCTTGGCTATGCACAGCCAACATGCCAAAGTATGACATCAACCTCTCTACATTTTCCTATCTTTACATGTATGTCCAAAAGTGACAGAAACAGGATCTTCATAAAAATGTTCCTTCAGTTCTGCTATAAAAGTCTCATATAAGTTAAGCTATAAATTAGAATGATATAACAACAACAACAACAACAACAAACCCAACCCATGGTGGCTTCAGAAGGATAGAAATTTATTTCCATCGATATATTTCCTAGACATGAACAGCACAGGGAAGATCATGTTGCTTTTGTTCCAAACAGGTTGATTTTTTTCTTTCTTCTAATGGTGGCTCTTATTTTTGTATTCAAGAACACTATCCATTGTTACTATTTCTGAGACAGAGACTAAAAGAAGAGAAGATCCGGACAAAAGGGGCTTTGCATAAGAGGATGACGGGAAGCTATGTAAACATTGATTCTGCACATATACTTCAAGCTATAACTTATTCTCAGGACTATAAATATTGCATCAGAGGCTGGGAAATCTGTTTTTGGTGGGATACTACCAAAGACTCTTTTAAACTCTTGGGCTCAGATTGCTTTATGCTGATAAAGATGTATGATGTGGTATGAACAAGAGCTACCTGCTAAGAGCCTAGGGCAATGATGTTCCTTCAACACCTGGCTAAAGACCTGCTGACCAAGACAGGTTTTGCAGTCCATCTTTTCCACACAAACTTCTGCTATCAAGCATGGATACATAGAGCTATTTCTGCCCTAACACACACCTTATTCTAAGACTAGTGGCTCTCCTGTAAGTCTTACTGAAAGCTATCAGCACTCTATGCCACCATATCTTTTTATATAGACTTTGTAGCTAGTTGATGGTGTTGAGAAAGGTAGGAAGAAATTGGGAATGGAAACTATCCTGTGACCTCTTTCCAAGATGAATGGAATACAAAATTCTCCCTGTTTTTCTTTCTTGCTATTGTTTCTAAGATATTTATATGATGATTGTTTTGTTGCTTTTGTATGTCCCTCCCCCACGATATCACTGTATTTGATGTTGGTATAATTTGGGGAGGGGAAGGGAAAAAATTGTTTAAGTAGGAATACAGGTGGACCCATTGCAACAATGAGATGTACAAAATGCTATGTTGAAAAATGAACTTTACAACTTTGGTTGGGTGGCAGAGTGTAGTTGTGGAGATGGGAAGGCAGGGATGGTAGGGGAAAAACAAAGGAAGAGGCAACAATGCTTGATATGAAATGTACTTTTTACCTTGCTCATGTAATTGTAA